TTCCTTCTTCGCTGACTCTGTCCACACCTTGGGGAACCCCTGGACCTGCTGGGGCTGGACCCTAACAATTGATGTTTCCACCTCTTTCTCCCTCTCCCTTCCTCTCTGAAATCAATAAAAATATTTTTTAAAATTTCTTTTGGGTTGAGCACTATGACATCCAGCACTGTTCAAGGCCCTGAGACAGGTCAACCAATTAGGCAAGTCTTGCTGTCACTCCTGACAAAGGGCAGAAAGCACCACCTCCTGCACGCAGCCCCCTCAGCCGAATATCTCATCCTCGAGGATCTGATTTCTCCTTCATCCCTCTAGCATTTGCTTTCTGAGTTGCTCCTTTGATCCTTGCTTATTCTATCTTATGCTGCTCTTTATCTGTCCACGTGTGTTTGCTGCCTCATTGGACGGTGAGTCCCTCAAGGACAGGACTGTGCCACCTTCATTTTTGTATTACCCACGGCTCCTTCTGCCAGACACATAGTGGGTCCTCAAATATTTTTGGAATGACCCAATAATAATTTCTAAAAATCCAATTACAGGAATTCGGTTTAGCTAGAAACTTCAGGCTCCCAAGCCAAAAATTTAATAAAGACTCCCTTTATTCTTTGTTTAATGCAACATAAACAGCGAAGCATTTGCTTCCCTTCTTCATAGCATAAGTACTGCTTGTGTGATTTAATAGATGAACAAGAATGTTTGTCCTTTATCCATGTGTTCTCTTGTCATCTGGGCTACTTAACACCTCCTTCCCCCCCCCCCCCCCCCCCGCACTCAAAATCTGATGCGAATAAATAGTTATTGAACTGAATTGAAAGCGGATCTGACTGTCAGCACACTTTAGACCAGGGGCCCTCAAACTACGGCCCGTGGGCCACATGCAAATACAAATATTGTATTTGTTCCCGTTTTTTTTTTTTTTTACTTCAAAATAAGATATGTGCAGTGTGCATAGGAATTTGTTCATAGTTTTTTTTTAAACTATAGTCCGGCCCTCCAATGGTCTGAGGGACAGTGAACTGGCCCCCTGTTTAAAAAGTTTGAGGACTCCTGCTTTAGATGGTTTAGCTAAGTGTAAATTTGTAAAGCGTCGGAGGCACGTTGTATTAGAAGGGTCTGGCTGCACGGTAATTATCCCCTTTGATGATCAAATCGGGGATTCGAAGTAAGAACTGCCTGTAACATTCTCAGCCTGTGACTTGTGTCGGACAGAGGAGAGGGGAGAGGGGCAGCATGGCCAGGGTGTCTGTTCCTCAGCTCTGTGATGGAGCCTGGTGGGGATGTGGGGGGAGGGGAGCGGGGCGGGCCTGGGGTGGTGTGGAGAGCTGAGGTCATGCTGAGCTACCAGAGGAAAAAGCCGCAGTGTGTCTGGGCCCTCCTCCTATAAATCATGAGCTTTGCAGCGCTGCTGGAAAACCGAGTGCTCTGTTTCATTTTCCGACCCGAAGCACTGGGGTAGGTAACAGAGGCTGCTTCTTTGAGAACAGGCAAGCCCTGCTGTCTGCAGGAAGCTGGCAGGACACCTGCTCCAGCAGCCAGTCCCTCTGACCCAGCAGGAGGGCTGAGGCCACAGACCAGGCAAGTCTTGGGCCAGGCCCAACAGTCCGCCACACTCCCAGGTGGGATATCTGATGTTTCTCATAGCAATCATCACCATGGTAACAAAGTAATGATCTGTGAAATCATCTTCCTCCACTACTAAGCAGGACAGTCCATCAGGACAAGACTGTCCATTCATTTCATTAATCCTTTATTCCCAGGGCCTAGCATTGGGTCTATGCTCAATGAATGAATGAATGAACAAACAGATACAGCATCCAGCTGCCTTACCAATAGCCTCGTGGGGATGGGGCGGGTAAATTCCTTGGCACTGACCCCTCCAGCATGACTAAGGTGACTCAAATGGACCGCTGGGGCCCATTGCAGAGCCAGACTGGACACTACCAGCCTGCCCTCATCATATCCGAAGACCACCGACAGAGGCGTCCACCCACCCACCTCAGCCCCACTCCTTCCACAGAGCATCCCTACCGTTCTTTCCCCATTAACCCTGCCCTTTCCAAACTGCCATGCACCTTACCATCCACCCCACGCTGCTCAAAGTGCTACACTGTTCATTCATTCACTTATTCCATCTAAAACAATTTATAATGCTACTTATTCACTTATTTCACCTCACAAACAATGATAATCGCATTTATGCTTTGGAAAGGGTTGCATGTGCCCTGGCCACCAACCAAGTTCCCAGACTCACCAGGATGTGCGTACTTTCAAACATTTCGTGTTAGCTGCATAAATGCCCTTTTGCTTTTCAGATGCCGTGACCTATTTTTAGTTGGGAAAATAGGTCACCTTAGAACTACTTCTCTTGTGTCCCTTGTGGTGGCTGGCATGCCTGGCCTCACGGAGGCCCTGGGCAAACAGCACCGTGGAATGTTAGCAGGGACAGGCTCTCACACATCCTCTCCCTGTGAGCGGGAGACCAGGCCCAGGACGGCCCGACAGTCAGCAGGACCGGGGATTTCACCGCCCTGCTGGAGAGGCCGGCTCACACTGCCCACTTGTTACCATTTCTCCTCCTGCCACAGAGGGAGGCCGTCCAGCTATCCTGTGGCCATTGGGGGAAGCAGGTCTATATTTAGGCCTGGAGGGACCACCACCTTCTCAGCTGCACAGAGATGAACACAGCCTCCCTTTCTCCCCTAAACCCCCAGTGCAACCTGTTGCGCCATCTCTCTGGTGGGAGAACAGAACTCTGGTTGGGGGTGCTGGGACCTTTTAGAGTTGATTCCTCCCATTTGGGCCCCAGGCCTCCACCCCAGATGCCTCAGATGTTGGTGAGATAAGGCTACTGCTAAGAAAAAAACACCCACAGTTGAAGCATTTGGTAGCTGTCTGTGACTAATAAAAACCTGGACTCCTGGAATCAAATTTTTGCAACAGCTTCAGTCCCTGTGGTTAAGAGAAGAAAAAGCTTTTTCAGGTCTCAGGCCCTTCCAGAAGGATGTGAGAGAGTGGAGGGCAGAGCACCCGCTTCTCCCAGCTCTGTCCTCCTCATCCCGCTGTTGGCCTCTGGGCTGTCTGCTGTCACAAAAGAGAAACTGGGTCTCTGGGGCCATCGGGGGAGAGGCCACACCTAAGTCCGACAGCCTAGAGATTTCCAATCAGTTCCGGTAACCTAACTGCTTTTGCAAAGGAGCCTATAAAAAGTGGGTCAGGAAGAAGGTGAGGTGGGAGGTAGAGAAAAGGAAAAGACCCGACTGTTCCTGATCTAACCACACGTGGCCCCAGACACAAGCCTTTCTATGAGCACATGACTTAGCAATGCACAAAACAGCGAGAGGTTTGCGCAGAGGGCATCTGGATTTGTAATTGTTGGGGCTCTGTTTTCTAGGTTTAAAACAGATCTGTTCCCTTGGAACCAACAGTCTTCCCCTTTTATTTTTCGCTCCTGCTTACCTCTTGGCAAGATTTTGTGGTTTTAAGGTTTGAGACTCATTGTCCCTGTGAAAAGGCTGTTTTACAGCGAGGTGTCCAGAGACCTCTGAAGGGTTAGCTGCTCCAGACATACGGCTGCAAGCCTCAGGCTCCACTTGGACCACAACCCACATGTCCTGCCTGCAGCTCTGGGGTCTAAAACTTAGAATACATAGGAAGAGGTGACAGAAAAGGGAGAGCTGAGACTTTGCCTGGCTAATTTTCTGGATGAAATGAACCCAGGCTGGTTAATCAGTTGTAGGACTAACTCCATAGTCTGCAAGCACTTTTACAAAGGCATCTGATTCCCCCCCGCCCCCCGCTACCCCTTAAGAATATTTAAAAATATCTTGTAAATGATGAGTGCATGCTGTGT